GGCCTTGAACTAGAGAGATGAAAACACACAATTTAGTTCTGCCACTTAACAGCTTCTTGCTTTGGGACAAGGCCTTCAGGCTCTCACCTTATGTTTCTTATTTATAAAATGGGTATAAAAATGATGTTTCTTCAGAGTGTTCTAACACTTTGACATGATAAAGTCTAAGAAGGGTTCTGGACTCAGTCACTCTTGCTTTATATTCTTGATAGCACTTCCCACTAACTGAAGTAACATTCATCTGTTTGTTTACCTGGTCACTGTCTGCCTCCCTATCTGGAAAAGAAAATCAAAGGGGACAGTGACTTTTCTCTGACCCAACCTAGTACAGTGCCAGGTATGTAGTAGTTGCTCAGTACATATCTAATCTAACCTATATCAATATCTAAGTCATTCAAATATAAGTTAATACTAAAATCTAAAATAGGAAAGAAAAGAAGGCTAAAGAGAATATACAAAAAAAATGAAATGAAAGTAATTACAATTTACCTTAAAGGATGAATCTCTGAAAATTGGTTGACTTTGATTTTCTCTCCCTTTTTCAAAGTTTTTGTCCATTCCCTCTTTAGCTATCACACCTATCTCATCTTCAGGAGTTTCCAAACAAGTACCACTACAGATTCTATGCTTCTTGGGTATAAATATCCTTAACCCACATGAGTTCCTTCATGATGATCATAATATAGAAAATGTTTACACTTATTGCAAGACTCAAGTTGGTCATTTTTCAAAAACTATGTTTTACTACGTCTGTAATATAAAGTGTACAAGCTACTGTGAGAAACTCACCTTGTCAGTCTAGATATATCTATTATTCTTTTAACACAAAATCCAGCAATACAGAACATTCTAACCTCCAAGGTTCCTTACTAACTGTTACTCAAGAAACAGATTGAGTATGCATAAATGTGCAAGAATGCAAAATATGCAACTGAAGGGAAATCTCTTTATACAACAATAGAACCAAACAAGCTCCTGTGGACTCAGAGGTTCAAAGCTAAGTCTTTATCAAAGAGCATTCTTTGGATAAAACAGTTATTATATTTCTGTTGGCCTTTAAGTAATCCCTCAAAATAATCTTGCAGCTGTTGGAAGTAGCTAACTCTACTGATACCGGCTTGTGTCTCTGGTCAGCACCTAAGAAAGCCTGAGTTATGGACAGTGAAGAAAACAAAGCTGATTTTGTGCCCATAAAAATGAATTATTTTTGAAAATAAAATTAATTTTTCTAATCTCACAATCTGGCAGTGTTTTAGTGTCAAGCGTGAAATTTTAGACTCCCTCAAAACTATCTAAGCAATGGGTGGGACTAGCTGATCTTAATTCATTAGTCAGAGTCATAAGAGAAAGAGAGAAAATGTGAAGGGAGAGTTGTATTATTATCTCAGAGGTAGAAATGTGGTAAACAAGCAATTTTCCTCACTATAACCCTAAGTTGGCAGTGATTTTTATGTTCTAACCTTGTTTATTCAGGAACAGGCCACTTTTAAAATCTAGGAGGTCAGAATTTGAACTACTTTGTTTTTATACTCTCAGATATGGTATAGAAGAGGTGCCTAGGGAAACTGCTGAAATTCTTGGAAATGGATGGGAAATGCCAACTTCACAGTGCTGAACTGATGATTTCTGAAGAAAAGACCCCAAATTCTCAAAGTGGAAAGAGGCGTGCTCCATAAGGGTTGTTAGTAACTTCTCTAGCCAAGATGACTACTCTTATTAGCATACAATCTGGAAATAAATGGCTAATTGCAGTCATGGGGAACAATATGAGAGAGAGAGAGAGAAAGCGTGTGTCTATGTATGTGTGTGTGTCTACTGAGGATGGGTTGAGAGAGTTTTAAAATTCCTACTCTGCATTCAATCTTTATTACTGCTGACTAGATTTTGACATGCAGATAACTTCATTTAGATAAATACCTTAAAAATACAGCATTTGGAAAGTATACTAAACATAAGAACCATCAAAAAAATAGTTCTTATTGCATTTAATCCAACATTTACATCAGTTCTCCTTTTATATAAGTACTAGGTGCTGAGAGGAGTGAGAATCTATAGAAAGATAAAATTCTAAACTATTACATGGTTGATTCCAATTCAAAAAACATACATTCATACTTAAAAAACAAACCCTCTAACTAGGGATAAACTAATTAGTAGCAGCTATATAAAATTAATGTTTTTTACTTATTCATCTTAAGGAACTGATTTGTTATTCTCAAATGATCAAATAACCATATTTGAGTTAGTATTTTACAATCAGTCATATAAAATTTTGATTATGAACACAAATGAGCACACTAACAGTCTCCTTTTTTTCCCCATAAATTTATCCAAGGGCACAGAATCCCACAAGTCTGTAAATCTCTTTTGGCTACCTAGTGATCTTAAACAGAGCGTGTGGTCTTTTTCAACTCCATTTCATTTTGATAATTGAAATCATTATCAGTTAGCCAAATATCAGCATGATGCTTCTATTAACTTTAACTTGGTAGTTAAGTGCCTCAGGGAAGAACTCCTCAAGTCTAGGGTGTGAGAAATAGCATTGGGCATGCAGGCTGTTTGCAGCATGGGGCTAACTCAGGAGCTGAGCTGTCAACTAATTTGAGACCTTCATTTCTCAATTTCTTAGTATCTCAGTATCCTCATATATAGGAAGGTGGTAACAACCCCTATCTCACAGGGAGGTGATGAGGATGAAATGGCATAATTCACAGTCATAATGCGAATACTTTGCTCATAACAGAATCCTCAGGGAGTGATTATAAGCTATTGAGGTTTTTTTCCAAGTCTAATTTATTTCACATTGTTCGTACTTATCAGTGCAATGTTCTTGTGTGATTCACTATATCATAAAAAGCAAGATAGCATTTCCTTTTTTTCCCCTTCAATCTCTTAATTTTCAAACTTTTTTTATTGTTTGGCTTTTAATTTTTGTTCTGTTCTTTTTGTAGGGTAAATTTGGAAAGTAGGCAAACAAATCTGACAAGAGCAATATGATGGGCCGTGAAAAGTCCGTATTATATACTTGCATGATCCACATCCCTATCAGGACAGAGAATATTTCCATAATCCCACAGTTTCCTCTCAAACCCCTTTCCATCCAGTCCTCCTCCCAATGGCACAAGGGCAATGTTCTGATTTTTTTAATCATAGATTAGTTTCATGTGTTCTAGAAATGCTAGAATATAAAAACTCAAAAATAATTTTACCTTAACTTTTAAATTCATGAGTTATAGATTACAAATAAATACCAACATATGAAACGTGTAATGGATGTAATATGCTAATTCCACTTACACTTACATTGGACATTGAATTAGCTTTTATTCTTC